ATGATGATCATCATTATCATGATAATTATGATAATGTTGATGATGATGCTGATGCTGCTGTTACTGTTGCTACAGTTGCTACTAAATATTAGAAATTCAAGCTGCCGATTATTACACTGGTCGTCATCTTACGTTGTGAATCGTTACGTGTAACATTTATTGTTTTCCGGTACTGCTCGTAGACAACGTTGCCTTGCATATGCACCTGTAGGCGGTGATGTGATGCATGCTCTATATGCCCAGGGTTTTTTGCATAAGTTGTACTACAAGCATGCGTTACTCCATCACTCGCCGTTCATTTCGTGTTCTTTCCTTTTTTATCCGCCTTACTTTGTGTTCAAATAAATGACATTAAAATTATTCAGCTATCATGTCATCGATTAGACATGTTCGACTACAGGCCCGCGTCTACACTCGCTGAACTATGTTTACAAGAACGAACACTTCTATCTCCATTGTTACGGCGATGCTTCGCATTGGGACGCGATGAAGCAAGCCGCACGCACCCACGTGCGCGAGGCCAGATAGGGACGACGGCAGCAGCGAGCTGACTCAAGCGTCGCCATATCGCTGGCAGCAGGCGTGACAGCTGGCGGCAGCGGCGATGACAATGTAGCGGAACCGTCCCGCTGTGCGGTCCTTTATCGCTACCCGACCTGCTCTCCGATCTTTATCTGCCTATAAATGTTCCACCGACTCCGCTCATTGTGCAGCGGACATGAATTATATCATGTAGTCGGACACTTAATGAGTGAAGCTTTGCTCTCGTCGCTACGCACGCGACGGTCGACTATAGCGGCCGCTGCAGTCCGCACGCGTCAACCACAGCGCGACATCGCGTCGCTCTTAGCGCGACAGCATCTCAGACGCTGAACGTGTCATAGCGCTGCGTCACGCGCCTGCGATACATGCGAACGCAGCCGATCGAACACGTACGCGTGCGGGGGATATGTACTCGCGATCGTGCTTAATTCCATCCAGCGAATAAAGCGTATGCGATGTATGCGTGGTATATAGTAACGAGCCGGATTCAACGAGAGCGGGAAACGTGTGGCAGACTCACCTATCTATGATGACTGGATCGGAAGGCGTCTCGTTTCGGTTGCCGCAGCTCTTTTTGTCACAGCACCGGCTAAAAGTAAAATAAAATTGATAGAACTCGTGATTATTAGCACCATACCTAATAATAATAATAATAATAATAATAACAATGATAATGATAATAATAATAACTAATCATTAATTAATAGAAGCTAGTTTGGTGACAGACGATTCTGCAGATTGTGCGAGCTATGCTTGCTGACGGCATCGTTAATTATGTCATATAGTCACATTCGTAAACGCATTATTTTACCGCAATATTTGGCTCAACGTTACTACGAACGATGTTTTCTGTGGAACCAATGAAGAACCAATTAAAATGGTGCTCGGAAATAACTCGCGAACCCAGTTTAATGCTCTAAAAATATCTCAAGAAAAATAAAGAACTGGACGAAACAGAGTAGGTGTTTCACACACTGTGCCCGCGTCAGGTTGTGAAGGCCGGACCGCTTACCTGCACATAATCTCATGGGTGAGAAGTACTCGACACATCTCTGGGTTCTTGTCCTGGCCCTCATATATGATCGGCTGCAATGAAGCATTACATTGATATTTAGCTTCCCGTAAAATGGCACTGTCCTCCGGTATAGTGCTGTTCCCAGACGAGAGCCATCATTGGGTGACGAGCCTTAAATTACTGGGTGCCGCACGCAGTCATAGACACCACTTCAATTCGATTGCCGCCTGTGTGTGCAGAGCTGCGGGTGACACGTGGCGCGCTATTGTGTGAAAGGAAGTAGCTGGAAGTCACCCATAGAAAGCGCTTTGAGTGTCTCGCTGTCGACACGCGCTAAAATCGTACGAGGGAACTATGATACTCGCGTAGACGTGCGCAACCATGCAAGCGTACACGTATGCGCGGGTGTGTGAGGTGTAAGAGTGTGTGTTTGCGGAAGTTACTCGGGCAGGTGCTGAAGTGAAGAGCGTAGGTATGTATCGCGTTCTCTCGTACTAGCAACCATAGACGTCGTACCTTAATTAGCATGACAACCAATTGGAGATGGACAGTGATATAAATATGCGTCCACATGCATCAGCAACGTAGAAAAGTATTTGCAACCTAATTACTCGGTCAAGATCATTTTGGAGTTGACGCTGGGGAATACGTTTGTGATTCCACCCTGTATCAGATAAGCAACGATACAGCGCTGTAATAGGAAGGACAAACACGACTGTTGTCAGAGCTGCTATGATATTGATTGCAATGATACTCACCCGGCACCGTGTCTCTGAGGGTCTTCATTATAGAGTGTAAATACGCGCGAAAATTGTATTACGTGCAACGTGGGCTCAGTGTTCAAGAGTCAAGAGAGGCGCAAGTTTCACGAATCCTATAACCTGTTTGTTCGTAAACATTTCCAGCCACATAATCGTGGATTAGGCGGGTTTTCCTAGCGATAGATGACCGGGTAATAAATCCCCACGGGGCGGATGTAGAGGCGCCGCATGCAAGAACGTACAATGTGATTTTCGCGTGCATGTGTGAAGGTTTAATGTGTAAAAGCAATGGGTGAAATTATTACATCTGTCTTTGTGCATATACAAAAGGGTCTTCGTGATGTCGTACGCGATATAAAAATTTTAAAACATGCTATGGCAGTCAATACTGATAGATTTCTACGAGCAACTACAGTTTGTGCGCTATGATCAACAAACAACATGTTGCACGCGTGCACCAACATTCATGCGCACCTTAATTCAACGGTGGGTAATTAAACCATTTATGGTCGTCAGCGAATCGCGTTAATTGGTTCGATAATTTTTGACACCAATGCAAATGCCCCGCGTCGCAGAAGTGAACGGAACGAACCAACCAAAGAGAATCCGAATCTAATGCAATTATCAGCTCAAATAATTTCTTAAATCTGCATCTAATCACGCACGCCAGATCGCCTACACCAGCAATTGCACCCGAGGCTTTTCTCTATTGCCAAATATTTTGATTAATTAGGCTGGCGGGTAGCTAGCTGGCTGGCCTCAGTAGCAGTTCACTGCGGGTACAGTCACGGCTGCTGATGATGCAGGGAGAACTGCTGACACTGCTTCACAATGGAGACGAGCCAATCTAGGGCCCATATGGCAAACGGGTCCACAAGCATTATCCACCAGCAATTGTCACGCAGCGGCTAATCTCATTCGAAATCATAACACAGGAACAAAGACTCGTTACGTGTAAAGTAAGCGCACGCTTTGTACATATGCCTGCTTTAGCATTCGACCACTTGCATAAAATGCAACAGTACGAGCGTAAGGTATGAATGTATCCCTTCGTGCGTGCATGCGAGCACTTTTGCATTTACAATAGTCAACATCGCTGTTATGCATGCTGTATATGTGTGCTATTATTCATCCACGTAACACAGCGCACACGCATGCATTTACATACTTGCGTACATGTTACTGTTACAAGCATTCACACAAATATGGATACAGCGCGCAAGTGAATTTGCATGTCGGTTTAACATGCTGAAATATATCTATACCTACATATTTACACATTCGATACAGAAATTACAATTAAAAATAATACAACAAAACAACAAATTACAGTATAACAACGATACAGAAATTACAATTAACAACAATACAACAAAACAACAAATTACAGTATAACAACGATACAGAAATTACAATTAAAAATAATCTACAATACTCTTAATTTGTTTGGTGCTTTCGAGAACTACGAATGGCCAAAGTATTGAAGAAGCTCAAAGAATTGATTATGTAATAAAGGAGAGATTGATCAATAGCATTTGAACACCCATTCCCAATGTCATTTTTCAAAACGGTTTTCGGTACTGTTAATGCAGTATAGAGGCGGCATCCATATATACATACAGATATTTTATAGCTTATAATAGCGTCATGCTAACTAATAAATTCGAAGACAACACGGAGAGAAAAGGTAACCTATATTTGCAATATGCAAGCAGTGATCTTTGTTTTGTCATGCGCTAGAAACATATCAACATCTCTATTATGAGCTCTTGAACATATACTGTCATGTAAGAGTATACGTAATCGCTTTTACTTGCACACATCGTAATCGCTTGCAGTGACAAACCATCACTATTCTAATATAACAACAACTTACTTGTTTCGAGACAGAGTCGATGAGTCTGACGTAAAGATCTTGTTCTGCACGCACGCCTGAAATTAGATACAAATGTCTGTGATTGCTACTGAAACGAATGGTAAACGTTTCGCTGTACGATCGACTGCGCTATATCAAGCATATACCATTAGCAAATATTCACCGGATATTGGCGCATGTTATGACGACAAATCGAGTGAACTACACCGACAGTAGCGATTTCGATAAGTGAGTGCTTGACGAGAGAACTGCTCGTTTACAAATGATAAATACATGCACCGTTTAACAGGATATTTGCTCACCGGCCGTTTGTGGGGCTATATAAGCAAATGTAAACACTATGAGGCGTTTAGATTGACATCATCGTGATCTTGAATATCAACAATCACTGTCAATTCCAGTAAGTGTTTATATAGTGTTTTATAGATCATTACTATATACATTGCGTTGAACGGATTTTTAGCTAGTATATTCGATGGGATTCTTAACGTATTTCTATTGCTGAAGATTCACGTGCAGTATTTACCTGGAGGGTTACGGTATTTGAATACGTGTAGACATATATACGGTTAAACATGATCACAAAATGATCATGAATACGAGAATTTAAAAGTGCGCGCGCTATAGAACACAACATCCGCATACACGTGTTATATCCATTTCATAAATTGCCATTTCTTCATTTCAACTCCCACACGACTGATATCGTTACTAAAATAGTACGGTTACATGCTACCTCCTAACGCAGTAATTTACTATCCCATTTATAAGTGATATTGTAGGTGACCGGACATTATAGGGTCTAGTCTTCTGAGACTCGAGAGCGTTGCTTCTCGCCAGTAACTAGGAATCGAAGCTGACACGACGGTAGAGGTGGAGATTTTGTGCAGACAATTAGCGTGCAAAAAGAGGCAAGCGTTAGCAGCAGTTTACGTATCAGCTAAATTAAGGCACTACAGCCGATCAATATTTAAAATGTTATTTGGCTGTATATCGTACACAAAATTTTATTTCTATACGGAATGTGTTGCATTATCATCAGATTGTATTTTGGTGCACGCGCACACAGTCGCGCACACACACTCCTGTGCACATGCATGATACACACGCACGCGCACGAAAACAACACACGCAAGCGCACACGCACGAACGAGCACACGCACACATTTACACGCACAAGCAAACAAACCACACCATATCACATCACGCCTAACAAACGCACACACGCACATTATAATGTACACGCACAGAAACCCATGCTGTAATCAAATAAAGTTCAAACGGATCGTGCAGAAGCAGCAGGCTTTATCTCAGCCAGTTCGTACTTCCTATAGGGGCATTTGTTTCACGTAATTTCATCGGAACTAGTGCAAAGGTTGAGACACTATCTGATGTCATTTGAATGTCAAACACTTTTTGCAATAAACTGTCTCTATGAATATCACTCTCGCCAATAATCTCTTATGATCAGTTGTGTAATTTTTAATTTAATAAATAAATAAATAAATAGTTTAATTATTTCAAATATTTATATGATGTATTAAAACCACATGTACCTTCGTGTACTAGTGAGTTTAAATTTAATTTGAATTGAAATTGTACTGGCGTAATAGTGTGTGTGTGTGGGGGGGGGGGTGCTTCTGCCTGTCCGTTGTACTTAATAGACAGTATTATATATGCGCATATGCACAGGCGCGCATGTACAACGTACACGTTTACACGCACTCGCGCACGCAAGCACACACCTACGTGCGCGCGCGCGAGTACACACACACACACACACACACACACACACACACACCACACACACACACACACACACACACACACACACACACACACACACACACACACACACACACATAAGTGCGCACGATCTTCTTTCATTCATTTATATTAGGCAATCGTTCAAATAAATTAAATATACACGCACACCTTGCCCGTGTATGCGCGTGTACTTCCGCGGGTAAACACGGGTGTTCAGGTGACTCTTACCGTTTGCGTAAAGCAACTGCACTCTGTAATGTATGCCATTTTTCGTATTTTGTCCTTCTGGTTCCTGCAACAGAAAATATAGACAGTGCAGTATATCGTTCTACTCGTCCGCTCGGTACAGAAAACTTAATGAAAATGTACATTCGTGTACCATAATAATGTTAATAATGTTATACTCACCTATCCCTGTTATGATCCACCGCTATGACCACATCGACTATGCATATGATGTGGCTGTACTCAGGGTTATTAATTTTTGTCGTGTCGGTAACTCAAGTATGGATGTAAATTATTTATGGCGATACGGTATCGTTTTTACTCTAAATTCCACATTATTGCTGTTCGGAAAATTACTGGTCAATACCCAAAAATACATTTCTTGATATTCTATTCAATGCAAGTGTCTTGTTGTTTGGTGAAGGTAATCTCATAGCGTCATCGCCGACGCATGTCCTATATCGTAAAAGTAACACTACTCGTGAGCAGTCATCAGTACACTGGTCGAATAATAGATATTACGTGCAACGTGACAAGGATCGGAATGCCGCCCGCACCGGCGTGATTTATTCATGTAAACTGTGTGGTGAGGGCAGTCAAAGATGAGGCGATTACCGGTAAACAGCCCTTTCACGTGAACAGTACCATTATTTTCGTCGGCGGCCCTTTCAAGCAACGCGAACTGCGAGATAAAGGGGAGTCGTGGGCACCGAAGCGCGAAACGAACACGGGTTGCGCATTGGGCTCTGACTCGCGCGCGTGCAAGATCACTATACAAACGCTGTCTGCAAGCTGACAAGTCACGAAATTGATTTGGCAAGGTTATGCAAGCATTATCCTAATCATGTCAACAGCGAAAATGAGGCAACTTGCGCACACAAACGAGCTTATGCGCGCGCAATGTTGCTGACGGCATTCTGTTCGTACGAATTTCTAATTCATTTGATAAATGCCGATATGTCATTTGCTAATATAAAGTGTAAGATCCAGTGCCAGGTTATACTCGAACGAGAGTAAAATTGTTTTGCATAAAAATGAGTATTGATGGGGAATTTATAATGCGAATGCGAACGGTCTGTAAATAATATAGTTGAAAAAGGACAAACTAGCACGGCCGCGCGCAAGGTAATATAATGGCATGCAACAGCATCACGCCTGTCGTGATGGGTCCGTGAAAAATAGTACGAAATATGATGATACCATTGCGCTACAGCGGTAGCGAGCCTGTGATGGGGATTAGTTACTGCCTAACTGACACTAGACGTGATTCAGCTAATGATGTCCGGCTTTGTATTATTCGCATTGATTATGCAATTAAGGTGGCGATCGCCTATAATATCGCACCTTGTGCCGTATGACACGTCGCATTTTGCGTACGGATCAATTTCCTTTCCAAACTGAGCTGGTACGTCTAGTGCGCTATATGACTTGTGCTTAGCAACATATATATTTACAGTGACTGTAGCTTTAAAAAATTCATAAACGATTATTATAAATATTTCAAATGACCAGTCTAGACAATGATATAGTAGTAACGTAACTTCTATCATTTATAACGTATATTTATAACTTATATTTGGTGCATGAGCACCTACCACGCATACATAAATACATTTACGTATACCATGAGTGTACGAGTGGATCTGTTTCTATGTCCATTCATATACAAATTAACGCCTATCGTGGTAAAGCGCGGCTGCGTTGCATCGTACACTACCCGCCATGCTAAATACCCTGTATAGCTGACGCATCACGGGAACGCATAACTATTATTCGAACGTAAACGTAACGCACCATTTTCGCTCGAAAACGATACCGCGAACAAATCATCAAACGAAAGCGGAAATAAATATATAAAAAAAGCACTTACACCTACCAGATCTTTCTCGATGAAGTCGATGAACGCCGTACGTTCGATCTCCACCGGCTGTCCCGTGCGGTCGTACAGAGCAATGACGAAATGGAAGAAGTTGCTCTTGCGTAGGTTGCTCGGCGGCTGCTTCTCGAAGTGGGCTCGGGCCAGGCCCGGCACGCTGTGCGGGGTAAACATAGGCAGCATGGTTAGAGCGGCGAAGTCGGCGCTGCTCCTTCAACGCGACAGGTGGGAGTTACGGCAGAGCACTTGTGCCGACCGCGGGGGACAGTGGCGGGCGGCGCGCACTGACGGCGAGCGACAATCGCTGCGGCCGACGCTGACGTGATTGATCCGCTGGCCGACGATCGCACGCCGCCGACAGCGACCTGATCGCCACCGACGCCTCGCAGACGAACGTGTTTTTTCTTCACCGCAACATATAGACAATAGATTCGGCCCGAGAAAATACGAGAGTGAGAGGGGGTAGAGAGGGAGAGAGAAAGGGAGAAGAGAAAGCGAGAACGAGGGTGAGAGAAAGCGGATATAGGGAGGGTGAGATAGAGAGAGCGAGGGAAACAGACGAAAATATAGAGAGGTAGAGGGAGAGAGATGAGGAATCGGCGGTGACAGCGTTCAATATCCACGGCATACACGGTGGCGGCTACTAATCTCGCTAGTTTACAGCTATAGAAAGACCACACCAGCATTATGCGTGCGTGACCGGCTTAGGGAATCACATCTGTGAAGTAATAGGGCTGAAGCGTCGTAAATTGGGTAATGCACCGCATATGGCAAGTGGGCACGGAACCGCGGTAGTCGCATCTGCGAGTGTTGAATCAACGCGATCGCGCTTCGTTCGCCAGAGCTGCGAGTGGTCGAATGAAAACACGCGCTTCTGTTATTTGACGTGCAGAAATACACACTGTGTAATATCTATGGCGGTTCTGATTCAGGTGAAGTTTAACCTCGCATTTTAGACGATTAATTCTATGTCAAGAAAATCCAAAATAGATTTGATTTGCATTGAGTTGCACGCATACCAGAAACAACAACATATAGTGCTTAATCGTCACATGCCAGTAATGTAAACATGAACTTATAGATGAAACGAGTTCACATTTATTTTGACATTAAGAAAATTATACCGCAATGAGCACCGAAGTAATAAATGCCGTGCGCTAATAGACTCGCGACGTGAAAACAATAACACCAGTCCTCACCAACATCATAAAGCCTAGATGTCTCCTACGACGAAACAGTCCCATGAGAAATATGCCAGAAGTGAATGGGGAATTACTCGGTGGGATCCCATGACATATACATACGAACATCGCGATGTGTACATACAAGAGCAGACAAAATCTTCTACGCGCGATACGCTCTGAGCGCGAAACAGCGAGACTGCTTAATACAAAATATCTAAGATTAACCGACGTGTTATACGGCGATAATCGCAAAGCGGACTCCCACCTAGCACTCGTCTGCTCGACCATGGTGGGCTGCATCCAACTGCCGCGCACCGATCCCAGCGGCTCTTCCTTGAGGCCGGGCACCGGTCCCCGGCCGTGCAGCGTATCCTGTATTCCGAACATGAATGCTGAAGACGCCGTGACTCAGTTCACACGAGGTCCGCAGAGGAAGGCCCGTATACACAGGAGAGAGGGACGGACCGAGAAATCCAGCAAGTCGCGACGCTGCCTGTGCGCGCAGTGAATGTGGTTCGCGATCGGCAACGCGGGAACACTTATCAACGACGGCGGGTCGCTCTCAGGACACCCACACACATCCACGCGGCGGTCTCAGTCTCGGACTCTGGCTGATCGCGCTGCGCACCGCGTTACACTCGCACTGCCCACTGAGGAGGGAGGAGAGCTCATCAAACGTTGTTTAAAGTGCATGGTCCAGCTTGCCATGTCGGTCGCGCTGGGAGGTACAGGAGCACCGTCAATACCCCAGAGGCGCGTCAGTCATACGAGTGACAGCCGCTCGATGACGTCGCCGACCAATCAGAGGCGGGCTGCGCATCCCCGCGTTTCCGCAGCACAATGCCGCTCGCTGCTTGCATCACATTACGCGGCGGCAGCCGCTGTCTGCTGCTGCAGCAGCGGCAGCGACGCGGCCGCCCTTGCGCTCTCTCGCTCTCTCTCTCTCTCCCTCCATAAATCTTCGACTCGGTGCATTAACGACTTCGCTCTCCGCCCGCTCTCGATTTATCGTTTAATACCTACATAGTAAAGTTGGCCGCCGCCCTCCCCTCGTAACCCCGGCACCACGGGCCTGGGGAGAGCGACACCGGACAACGCCCGCTATACGTCTATGTGTCGGACGGGGGTCATAACGGCATCTGTTCTTAAAGAGTAAGCACTGCGGTGCGCCACCAGGTAATGCATGGCTCATTTCCTACCACCGGTCATATACACGAGTAAGGGATGGGTTAGGGGCTGACACAACTTTTACGGTGCTCTGACAGGGGTAGGAGAAAAGCTAATATGATCAGATTAGGACTTTATTGCTTTTTCTTAAAGATTTTTGTGTGTGTTAGTATATTCCAGAGTACATTGTATTCCACGTACTATCTAATAACGCTGTGAGACGAGCGAGCTCACGACAAATTTGTATGACATTGACGGACGGGCGGACGAACGGACGGACGGGCGAGCGGACAGATGGACGGACGGGCGAGCGGACAGATGGACGGCGGGACCGACGGAATGAACAGAAGCACGCCACACTCGCATGTACGCACATAAATCCATCCATCTATCAACACACCTACCTACCCCAAACCCCTCACACACATAAACGTACATAAGTGCACTCACACTCGCGCACCCCCCCCCTCCCCACCCACACGCGCGCGCAATTAAACGCATCACGCACACCAGCATGCACACGCACACACAAGCGCACACGCTCACACCCACTCACGCACATGCAGTACGGAAACACTGTCACGAGTGCAATAGATGAGTTGTTGCGAAAAAAGGAGATATAATGTTGAATAATAGTGTGCATGGCGAGAGACGGGGTGGGGGATCGAGGAAGCCGGCGATTAAGATCTCAAATAGATAAAATTTAAATGATGATTATTGTGATATGCGAATGGTATCGTCACATGATATCGTGTCACGTGATGTCGTGTGCTCTGTTTTAACTCTTTAAGACATCACATTAACTCTACATGTAGAAGCAACTTCACGTTCTTTTAATAGTATGCGATTGCAATAAATATATGCAAATATTTATATACCTCGACAAGATCTGTTGAATAATACCAAATGTAACCTATTATGTCAGATGTGATCATATATTAGCACTACATAGTGCATTACGCCACCCATCACATCAGAGATTACACAATACTTAGGATAGATGTATTGTAGATATTTCCCTATATTTAGTTTATTATATATATATATATATATATATATATATATATAATATAATAATATATATATATAGAGAGAGAGGAGAAGAAGGGAGAGAAGGGGGGGGGGGGGGTTGAGACATAAAAGAGAGAAAAAGATAGATACATACATATACAACATACATCACATACATACATACATAGAAAGAAAAATTGTAGTTGTTGTTTATTATATTTACATAGCATACATACTACATACTATACATACAGTACATACATACATACATAATACATACCATACATAGCAATACAATAGCATACATACATACATACATACATACATACATACAACTATACATACATAAAATCCATACATACATACATACAATACATACATACATACCATACATACATACATACACAGCATACATATCATACAATACATACATACATACATAACATACTATACTACATAACTACATACATACATACATACATACATACGATACATACATACATACATACATACATACATACATACATACCATACATACATACATGACATACATACAACTCCTACATACATACATACATATCATACATACATACATACATACATACAACATAATACATACATACATACATACATACATACATACATACATACATACATACATACATACCATACCATACATACACCTAACATACATACATACAGTACATACATACATAATACATACATACATTACATACATACATACATACCATACATGACAACATACATACATACATACATACATGCATACATACATACATACACTTCATCACATACATACATACAACAATACATAAACATACTCATACATACATACATACATACATACATACATACATACATACTACATAACATACATACATACTATACAACTACATACAACATACATACATACATACATACACATACACATACAATACAAGCTACAAGAATCATACATACATACATACATACCATACATAATACAACATACATACATACATGCACAACATACATACACAATAACATACATACATACACATACATACATAGCATCTACATACATACATACATAGCATACATACATACATACATACATACATACATACATACATACATACACATACATACATACATACATACATACATACTATACATACATACATACATACATACATACATACATACATTACATACATACATACATACATACATACATACATACATACATACATACATACATACATACATACATACACATACATACATACATACATACATACATACATACATTACATACATTACATACATACATACATACATACATACACATACATACATAACATACATACATACATACATACATACATACCATACATAATCTACATCACCAATACATAATCACATACATACATACATACATACCAATACACATACAACACAGTACAACATAAACCATACCATACATAACATACATACATACATACATACATACATAACATACATACATACTACATACATACATACATACATACATACATAACATACGATACATACATACCATACCTACAACAATACATACAGTAATACATACAATACAACATACATACATCAACATACATACTACATCTACATGCATACACATACATACATCACATACAATACATACAGTACAACAACATACAACATACATACATACATACATCACAAATACAATACATATCATACATACATACATACATACATACATACATACATACATACATAATCTGATACATAGATAGATCGAGATAGACTAAAGATAGATAGATAGATAGATAGATAGATAGATAGATAGATAGATAGGAAGATAGATAGAATAAATAGATTAGATAGATAGATAGATAGATAGATAGATAGATAAGATAGATAATAATAGATAGATAGATAGATAGATAGCTACTACTAAATAAGAATAAATAAGATAAGATAATAGATAGGATAGATAGATCAGATAAGATAATCTAGGAACTAGATAGATAGTACTAGATAATGATAGCAATAGATAGATAGATAGATAGCATAGATGAGATATAGATAGTACAGATAAGTATAATAGAATAACTAGAATAGACTTAATAGATAGGCGAGATAGGAGACTAGAAAGATAGATAGATAGATAGATAGATAGATATAGATAGATAGTAGATAGATAGATTAGATAGATAGATAGATAGAATAGATAGATAGATAGATAGATAGATAGATAATAGATAGATAATAGTAAGATAGATAGATAGATAGATAGATAGATATATAGATAGAGTAGAATAGATAGAAGATAGATATGATAGATTAGATAGATAGACCTAAGATAGATAGATAGATAGATAGATAGATAGATAGATAGATAGCATAGATAAGTAGAATAGATAGAGATAGATAGATATGATAGATAGCATAGATATAGATTAATAATAGATAGATAGATAGATAGATAGAATCCATCTCAAATCGATCAATACATATTGGCGCGCATCTAACTGTTGTGACGACACAGACGTAATCGCCAACGACGTTGATATGATACTCTAACGCATCATCTGCGCGTGTTTAAGCATTAGTCATCACCGAACAAGTGATGGAATTCTTAGTTTACTGACTATACACAGGGAAAATAAAGTCTCTTTGGCATCTCACGTCTCAGGAAACAAAGTGTCCAACGTTTACTAACGCCGGTCTTCCCTCCTCAGGGAATGAGATGTAAACGGCGTTTTCTGGCTGGTACCATGTACATTCCTTCATGCGATGCCAGACGCCCCTTTGAAGTTCGTGACTAGCGAGTCAGTGTCCGTTTCCATTCATAAATACGTTATACGTGGCAACACTTACTTTGGTTATTACCAGCTACGGTAGTTGAACTCTCAACTTTCTTTTGTATTTATCACGTATCAACGATTAAGATACGTTATTTCATCGACTAACTTCTGACTACGTGAACGTGTGTCCACTTGCCCTACTCTAGTATATCGAAGAATTAATTTTTTCGTCAAGTTTGCTTTTCGCAGGCAAACTTAAGTTAATGCATGTCGGTTTGGGCACTAATATAACACTTTTGTTTGCTTTTTGCTGGGGCAGTTTCGTGAATAAAGCTGTAATATACGAGCGGAAGAGCTCATCGGGGAAACCTTTTACACAACGGTCTGTTCCTTCCACCTTCTTTCGACATTTATCGCATATGATTAGACGTCCGCTCCGGAGTTACAACTCGCACAACTCGCTAGCGGCGTCACAACGCACAGCGACATGCGCCCGCACGCATATTATTATATATATATCATATATATATTAAAATAATGTATATATATATTATATATTATGTCTGGAAGAGCGGCGCGCGAATGAGAGAGGGAAGAGAGGAAAGAGGGCGAGGGGGGAGAGAGAGAGAGAGCGCGACAGAGAAAGAAAGACATCTTCCTTTGCGCATCGTATGGTGAGAGACAGATGTATACCGCAATGACAACAAAGGT